AGCGTTAGAGATATTAAAGGGTGTGGGGCAGACAGAGGGCATGGTGATTCGACGGTGTGCTGCATCGGCTACGTGGAACGCCCATGTGGATGTTAAGGGGCTGGAGGCGGGGCCGTGGCAGTGTAGACGGGGTAGAAGTAGAGGGCGGAGGCAAGAGGGATGAAGTGGGAGAGAAAAGGAAGGGAGTTCCTCTGGTCGCTATGTGGAGGGACATGGCGCCAGTATAGGGTGCAGGCAAGAGACGAGGCAGGTGGTAGGGCAGAACACATGGTGACTCCACGGCGTGGGAAGGGGTAAGCATTTGAGATATTGAAGGGTGTGGGGCAGACAGAGGGCATGGTGATTCCACGGTGTGCTGCATCGGCTACGTGGAACCCCCATGTGGATGTTAAGGGCGGGAGGACGCGGCAGGGACGGGGCTGTGGCAGTGTAGACTGGGTAGAAGTAGAGGGTGCAGGCAAGAGGATGATGAAGTGGGAGACAAAAGTGCAGGCAAGAGACGAGGTAGGTGGTGGTAGGGCAGAACACATGGTGACTCCACGGCGTGCTGCATCGGCTACGTGGAATCCCATGTAAGGAGGGGGCAGGGAGGGGGTAAGCGTTAGAGACATTGAGGGTGTGGCGCAGACAGTGGGGCCAGTAGAGGGTGCGAGCAAGAGATGAGGTAGGTGGTAGGGCAGAACGCCTCCACGGCGTGCTGCATCGGCGGGGAACCCTCATGTGCAGGTTTGATTGGGTTTGAGGGGGAGGCGCAAGTAAAGGTGCTGGGGGGCAGAGAGAAGGTATGGTGATGCAAAACACGCATGAGCATTGGGGGGGGTGCATATAGAAAGCAGGGTCACTCCACAGTCTGCTGCAAGCTAAGATGTGATGGAAGACGTGCTGCGCTCGTTTGGGCCTGGCGTCACAAGTGGAAACGAGCGCGGAGAAGTAGGCCAATCGAGGCTCGGCGAGCAGCCAGCCGCGATGCACCGGGGGGTCTCCAGCGGCGATGTAGAACGATTTTTGTAGAAGCCAAGAGGTGGTTGGAGACTGAATGATGCTAGATTTTGTGTTTGTTTGTGATTGGGAGCAGAAGTGGAATGATTTTGTAGTAACTAATGCTAGATTCTGTGTTTGTCTGTGATTGGCAAAGTGGAAATGAGCGTGCAGAAGCAGACATGAGGATGGTGACTCCACGGTGTGCTCCACGGTGTGCTCCACGGCCTCCTGCCGTCCCTCTGCCCGGGCCAAACGTCACTCCTGAACCAA